TTTCTCTCTCTCAAGTGTTTGGCTGTTGTTTGATTTCCCCGGTGTGGCTGCGCTTGATGTGCATGTTGACAAGGTGCCTACCTGTCTACTACCCACTACCTCGTCCATACTGGCTCCAGGAGACAGTTGGTCGTTGCTGGAGGGGACAGGGTGCAAGGTTCTTGTGGCCGTGTTAGGATCAAAGAGTGGTTCCATGCACTCAGTGTGGAACGGGCTACGGTCCAGCCACCGCCTTGTGTGCGCTTGATTCCCAAATAGAGTGTGCTTGCGTTTGCCTGTGAAGGAGTGTGGGCCGGCTCCGTTGATGAAACGTGGTTCCCATCCGCATGCCTCCCGGTCTTATTCCTTCGGGTTTACACTGGATATGGGGTATGTGGTTGGAGCTGTGGGTGGTGCAGCGCAAGCCATCCATGGTCCCTCTGTAGGCGCAGGCGTCCTGTGGGTGGCTACAGTGACAGGCAAATCGGAAACCGGATGCCGCCAACCATGTTTCATCAACGGAGCCGGCCCACACTCCTTCACAGGCAAACACAAGCACACTGTATTTGGGAAATGAAGCGCACACAAGGCGGTGGCTGGACCGTAGTCCGCTCCACACTGACTGCATGGAACCACTCTTTTATCCTAACACGGCCACAAGGATCGTGCACCCTGTCCCCTCCAGCAACGACCAACTGTCTCCTGGAGCCAGTATGGACGAGCCAGTGGGTAATAGACAGGTAGGCACCTTGTCAACATGCACATCAAGGGCAGCCACACCGGGGATAGCAACAACAGCCAAACACTTGAGAGAGAGAGAGAAAGAAAAAGAGAAGAGAAAAGCTCGATTAATGCATAAGGAAACGGTGATATAAACCTTAAGTAAATAGCATATGTAATAAGTTGTTTACAAACAGATCCTAGCTAAGTGCACGAGGTCACGAAGTATAGTTCACGGAATGCCACGAACACAAAAATGTTATGGAAATCGAATACAATTGGCTTAGGCGATGTGTGCAAGTTAATGGAATAGAGTACAGGGAGATACTTATATGAGAAAGAAAAGCATTAAGCCATATACTGTAAACCCACCACCTAACTAAAGAGACTTGGCATGCAAACACGCGGTTAGTAAATTGAATTCAGCGTGCCTACAAACGCTGCGCCGGCTCGCCGTAATTCTCTGCAGGACCCGTCGTCGCTTCTGCAGTGGCCCCAAATGGCACAGCTCATGAGCGTGACCACTCCGTGGGTGCGTCCAAGTTGCTATATCACACGCACTCAGTGCAAACCGAGTGTTCATGATCGTCAGGCCGTGAGTGGCACACAGTGAGAGCAGCCAGTCACCGTTCGCATTCGCTGAACCAATGCCATGCGCACCGATAACATCTGTCCACGCTGATGCATCAAGCACAACGCGCGCGTTGGAATCACCCAGCAAAAATAGTCAGTCGCTCCTCGGCACAGACCGTATCACGGAGGATAGCTCAGTGTAGAACTGATCACGCGTAGCATCAGGATAACACATGGTCGGACCGTACGTGCTTATAAAAGTGGCAAACTTACCTCTTCCGAGTCGCAGGCGAACAGTCATCAGTCGCGCGCTGATGCCCGTTGGTTCACCCACCAGCTGGCCATTCAGGCGATCGGATATTGCAAATCCGACCCCATGTTCATGTGGTGTTGAGGCGGCGTTGCACACCCAGTATAATGTGTTAGCCAGCACCTGCTTCATGTAACTTACCTTGCTCAGCGAGCCGAGTTTCACTGAGCGCCGCAATATCGATATGGTAGCGCACCAGCTCCATTGCGACCAGTGCAGTGCGTCGCTCCGGGCGCTCGCTGGAGTTCCGGTCCAGTAGTGTGCGCACGTTCCAGCACCCGATGCTGAGTGCTTTGCGCGCAGGCATACGATTGCATTGGTGGGCAATCGCACGCGAGGTGGTCGTTGTGCATCGGAGGTTTGCTTGAGGGACTCCACCCGGAGCCTTTGGCTCAATAGCCTGACCCACAAGGCAGTGGGTGATTTGGAGGTTTGCTTGAGGGACTCCACCCGGAGCCTTTGGCTCAATAGCCTGACCCACAAGGCAGTGGAGAGCAGATCCAGCTCGAGAATGTGATTGCAGAGACAGATTGGGATCCGCTTGACGGCCGTCACACGCAGTCTTTGAGGTTCTGGAACAGTTATCATATGTTTTGCGACCGTAGTAGGATACGCACCTGCGACCACGGCCAGGCGCAGGTGGGTTTTTGGCGGGTTTGCACCAATTTGACCAGGGGCTGCCTGGCTTGAGGCGGGCAGTAGCAAACCATTGAACACCCGGAGGTGTCCTCCCACCGTCAGAGACAATGCGTGGCACTCGTGCTCTACGCCAATCGAGCTTTGAGAATATCACCCGTAAACCTGTTGTCTCCCATGGCTAGGTTTTACGGGAAGTGGGCCATCGACCACTTCCTAACCTCCGGAGAGGATGGACTAGGATACTGCCAGGGCGCCCAATCCTGACAGGAGGACGACTCGGGTCCTCAGCCAAAGCCTTCGATTAAATGAACACCCGAAAGGCAGCGGGTCTAGCACATGATCAGTTAGCTGACTCATGCGGATTGGTGTCCTGGATCTTAGCAGGGAGAAGGGCGAAATCTAACTCCCACCCAGCGGTCGCCACGTGGAGGCGCCCAGGACATGAGACTATGGCGCAACAGTAGCAGCCGTGGGTAGACCATCTGTCAGGATCTAGCCACCACCAGCCTCAGCGCACCATAGGCTCTTTCGCCATGTATATATATATATATATATATATATATATATATATATATATATATATTTATATTTATATTTATATATAAAGTGTCCCATGCTGAGGCTGATGTTGCATTCTTGATGCTTCTCCACCACAGTTGGGCTAAATCAACTTACACTAAGGCTAGGTCTTTTTAAGCTGGATAGATTTCATTCCAATGTATTTGATTTGTTCTGCCTACCTGAATACTCTTCTATTAACTTGCCACGTTGCTTGCATTAATTGCGCTTATCTTCGGTAATTTTGTTGCGTTTGTGGCATTTTTAACTAACTTGTGGACATTTTTTCCTTATCGCAGATTCGTTGCTAACGAACTTACTTCATATGCTAATTTAGCGAAGAGTTATGCCACTGTATCTGTATCCATTATTGGATTTATTTTATTTCATCTTGTCGTTTAAAGTGATTGGCTGTTGCTTGATATCCCCCATGTGGCTGCGCTTGATGTGCACGTTGACAAGGTGCCTACCTGTCTATTACCCACTACCTCGTTCATACTGGCTCCAGGAGACAGTTGGTCGTTGCTGGAGGGGACGGGGTGCACGGTCCTTGTGGCCGTGCTGTGCTCGAAGAGTGGTTCCATGCAGTCAGTGTGGAGCGGACTACGGTCCAGCCACCGCCTTGTGTGCGCTTCATTTCCCAAATACAGTGTGCTTGTGTTTGCCTGTGAAGGAGTGTGGGCCGGCTCCGTTGATGAAACGTGGTTCCCATCCGCATGCCTCCCGGTCTTATTCCTTCGGGTTTACACTGGATATGGGGTGTGTGGTTGGAGCTGTGGGTGGTGCAGCGCAAGCCACCTGTGGTCCCTCTGTATGTGCAGGCGTCCTGTGGCTGGCCACAGTGACAGGCAAATCGGAAACCGGATGCCGCCAACCATATATATACATGGTGTCTTATTTCACGTTCAATCAAGAGTATACCCTCATTAATAGGGTCTTGCTGTGGGATCACCGATACGGCAAATGTGTTTACGAAAAATTTTAGCAGGACGACGCTGACCGACTCTAGTATTATCAAACAGGACAAGATGAGTTTCTAGGCTATCTGAACCCTTGCTGAGACTATAAATTGCACTACGGAATTGGAATCATGCATTGGTAGATTGTGATTCCTTGACTGCTTAGCTCACTGAAATGGAAGCAGCCTAAAACAACGATTTTTCGTAAACCGACGGACACAGATGGAGTTCAGGTCACCCAAAGCATGCCGGAATCGTTTCAGCTTTGTTTCACAGAACTCAGACCCTGTGCACAGAGGTAGAAAGCAATGAACCCATCGCTTGACAGTGGATACCAGAAGCAGTTAGTGAAACGCTAGTTACAGAGGATATTATATCAGCATGCAGGGCATATTACGAAGTGGATTAGGACGAGTAACATTCCATAGGTCCAGAGTTCGATGTTTGCCATCCTTGCCTGATGAGAGCAAATAAGTTTGAAACCGGTCATGGAGTGCAGGGTTTTCGGGCGGGCAACACGTAGTATCCACTACTTCATCAGTTAGGGTCCAGGTGATCGAATTGAGCAAGGTACACTTCAACGAGAATCAATGTCCACATTGAGCACGCGTGTCACAATCCATTCACACTAGTGCCTCAAAATGGCGCCTCCAATTGGTTCTGGTGACTTCATAAGCAATAAAAGAAAGCGTTTGTAAAAGAGACGCTTAACATGCATGCAGCTGCAGTTGATGATCAGGTGCTAATCATTTACCAAGTTTCGTTAAGTAAATGAATATCAGGTGGAGTATGAGTGTAATATCAGCTACTAACTTGCAAAATACAGTGGCTGTCAGAGTAATATACTGATTACAAACAACTTACAGGTGGAGGTAACTTGGCTTTTGGTAGTGGAATGGCGCGGTTGAAGAATGCTATCGGATCCGACTTGGCCCACACAGAAAATAGATCGTAAAATCTCGTGGTTATTACCCCGCCAACGCGTTCCACAGCTGCTATCACATCTTCGCTGGCATACTGTACTTCAATATTGACAGGTGTGACGAAGGAGTCAATACCCTGAGCAAAATACATTTCAGGAAAAACAGACCAACTTCATCAACTAGATGAAAACCGTAATGGCGTTCGTGCTCTGGATCAAGCCTGTGAAGTCTCGTGTTACATATAGTAGTTAGATCAATCGGTTCAAGTGGATTGATGCGATCGAGATCGATCATTCGTTGAATTTCCAGCAGAGACACGCGCTGAAGTGGTCTTTGAAAACTGTGACAATAGCCAAGCCAATGAGCAAACTCACGCAACATTATGATTATATGGCTCCTTTGGCACACTCAAATAAAAGGGCATCTTCTGATTAAGCTGGCCAAGAGGCATCCAGGCTTGGAACTGACTCATTCCACGGTGACCAAGTCCGCGCTTCTTTCTCTTTAATCCCCCATAACGCTGCGGAAGGGAATAAATATGTTAATGCCTCACCGATGGGACACTTCGTGGTAGGTCGACCACGTTGACGAGGGATACGCGAGGGCAGTTCCTAAGTAGACGTATAGCGTTATCAACGCTCATTTCACTGTTGCTGCGTCACTTCGGTGATCATTCGATTAGCAGCTACAAGTGCAAGCAACGAACGGAGTTCACATGAATACAAGCATGACAATAAATACAACAGTTTAAGCAAATTGAAAATTCCAATTTAGAGTCAAAAGAACACGAGACCATAGGTGAACAACTGTTTTCGATGATTCCCTTCAGACCATTACAATCATATTTAAGGGTAAAATAAGGAACTGAAATCGATTCATTGGCTCAAATTACATAGTTAATTAACGGTTCAGTGAGGGAGGCTAAAAGTTGACCTTTGAACTGACAGGTCGATTGCATGGTACCGAGCTTGGTCTGTGGTAATCGACCTCAGCATCGTTCGTTCTAGCTGGCCAGGGAAGCTCTAAGGCATGGAGCAACTACTTTTGCGAGCATAATAAAGGTTGAAACAACCTCCACGCCAGTCAGCCTTCCCGTGCGCCTGCCGCTGCACATCCTTCTGGATACCTTTGCAATGGTTACATAATGAGAAACCACGGTCGAAACTGCTCAATCGCCGCCGCGTCTGGAGAACCCGCCTTGCGGACGATCAGCAAGAATCCGAAGGTCGCCGAAATCCCTGCAGGTCAATCCTCGTCAAAAGCGGTACGCTTTCTCTTCAAAGGGAGGTGTTGCCGGCCCCTCAGACATCTCCGCAAAATGCGCCAGAAACTCCTGCATAATGGCTGTGGAAAGCGAGGTCCAATTCCTCTCACAACGTAGCAGAGTTCAGCCACTCCGAGACGCGGCCCAACTGCGCACCTTTTGACAATGGTGTTTTGCAAACAGCCACCTCGTCGTGGTAGCTATTTACCCTGACTTAATGACCCATAGCATTGGCTGTGATTTGCTCTTTGTTGGTCGTAAAAGAGCCTCCAGAGGACCACTTGCCTTTCTTCCTCTTCGCCTCAGTTGGGAGTCGGTCAGGTCACGTGATTTTGTGTGCGTCGTTAGCCGGGCAACGTTCGCGTCTAAGTCACTAGTGCGCGTCTACCGTAACCCGCTCTCGTGTCCGTCCGTTCCGAGGGCTCACTGTCTACCCGAATACGTGCGGATAGGATCGTTCTCACGCTCGCGCAACTGCCGTCTCACCAGCGCGTACCCCGGGCTAAGCTAACGCCATCAGGTCAACGCAAATCCGTTCGATTGGCCAGCGTTCGAATCCGTTACCGTAGCCGTACTCCAATCGTGCCAGTGACAATCTTATCAGGAGTTACGCAATCAGAACAGAGGCGTTCTCTATTCGGTTGGTAAGTGCCACTCCTTGCGCTCTTAGTTCTGCTACCTCCGTACTGGAAGTAGACTAAACCTGAGAAAATTGGGCGTGACGTGAGTAACCCATTGTATGCAAACGATGCGCCTCTTTCTCAGCTCACCGACATTGCTGACCGTATTTGGAAATCCAACGCCCAAGTATCTCAGGTCCACTCTACTTCCAGTACGGAGGTAACAGAACTAAGAGCGCAAGTAGTTCGAAATGATTTGGAATATTGGTAGCCCGGGAGGCTTGCTCAGTTGTTGTGGAGTTCTCCGAGCTGGGCAACTTGGTTGCCCAGCTCGGAGAACTCCACAACAACTGAGCAAGTAGTTACAATTACTAACCGAGTAGAGAACCTAACACAGTCCGGATCCAACCGCCGGAATCGTTCCAGTAGTCGTACTAGTGCCAGGTCACGTTCGAAATCTCCGCCTAGGTCAAGATATTGTTGGCAGCACCAGCGGTTTGGTCATCAGGCCAGATCATGTCGCCTGCCCTATTCCTTCAAGTGCAACACGCAGGGAAACGGGCCGGCCAGCACGTAGGGGCGACGGACGTTGCTGGCTGTCCCAGTCGCCTTTTCTTTGTCATCGATAGCAGTACGGGAGTACGCTATCTCGTTGACACCGGCGCGGAAGTCAGCGGTATCCCACGTGATTCTAATGAGGTTATCGATGTGGCGCAGCAAACGGCATCATTATTCGCGTGTATAGTCAACGCTCGGGCACGTTTAGTTTAAACCGAGGACTTTCTTTTAAATGGATCGTTCTCGCCGCAAATGTCCAGATGCCAATTCTTGGCCTTGACTTTCTGCAACATTTCGATTTGCTTGTTGACGCGAAGTAACGCCGTCTGATCGATCGTCAAACAAATCTGGCAGTTATAGATACTTTGACCGACATTGAATCAATCAGTCCTGTATACGCCAACCAGTCAAGCTCACCTATCGGTCAGATGCTTAATACCAAGTTTCCGCAAGTCTTTCCTGCAATGGCACCGTTTCCATCCGCCACTGATGCTGCAAAACATCACATCGTTACCAAAGGTCCGCCTGTTTTCGCCAAAGCCAGGCGAATGATCCCTGACAAGCTAAAAGTTGCTCGCGCAAAACTCGAATACATGCTTGAACTAGGCATCGTTCGCCCGTGCAATCGGTCACCGGCTCCCAGTGGACGCGATTTCCTGACTTCGTCCCGCTGGCTTGCGGGTAGGCTATTGAGCCAAAGACTCGGGACAGAGTCCCCTAAGTCAACTCGCTACCTCAGCCTAGGAAACCGGGTAGTATCATACCCACTGAGAAAAACCATGGATTTACCTTCCTTCCACGCTTCCGCTACTGCCGCTTTTGCCGTTTGCCAAGTTTTACCACAAGCCAACACTTTATTTGTTATCAATTCTACCTCAGTTGATACTGCCTTGGATCCCGGTTTTGCCGACACCAGAAAAGCTCAATCGACAGCCATACTACAACCGTAATCGATGTTCCGATTGGCCTGCTTCAACGTATGAACGCTTTTGCAGATTGGTCAACAGGCCGGCCTGGCCTGCATCCTGGAGTCTCTCGCCATTGACGTTTGTTGCGTTTCCGAAACCCAGTAGTGTACTCAGACTGACGTCCCCTTCTGATCGCGGAACCATATCCCAACTGCGTCTGTCTACTGACGCAGAAGCAGCTGCAGTAGGTTCGGTTGGTGTTGGGATAGCGGTAAGTAAGAAAGCCGTAGCTGCCTTGCGAGACTGGTTATCAGTTAACAGTCGGCTTTGCGCAGTTGGGCTTCAGGGATCATGTCGCAAATAAACACGGAACTTGTTTGTCGTTCCTGCCTACGCCGCAACTGAGTGCAGCAGCGACAATGTCAAGGATGATTTGTTACCGCGAACTTCACGTTCTTCTGAGTAAAGTGGACAAGTCAGATGTAGTTATACTTGCTTGTGATTTTAATACACGGGTCGGTCGCCTACTTCCGTTTGAACGCCACCTTGGAGGTCAGCACGCGCTTAATTAGAGAGGCACAGATAATGGGGACCGGCTTCTCACATTGTGCGAAGACAACCATTTGTTCCTCTGCAGCATAAATTTCAGACATAACTAGAGACGTTCAGCAACCTGGCGCTCTACGTCAATAACACAGGTCTGGGACCAGATCGACCACATCAGTTTCTGTTGGCGAGGTAGTATACAAGACTGCAGATCATTCGGGTCAACCCACCGCGACTAAGATCACGCGCTGGTTTGTGCAAACATCTGCGCGAGCTTCGGTGGGCCCCGGAAACAATTGCACCATAAGATTGACGCAAACAAGTTGGTTGACTCTTGTATCCAATTGAGCTATCAAGCTGCACTATCAGACACTCTCATTTGTGGTCCACCCCATGATGTTGAGCAACATTGGGCTTGTTTGCCCAAAGCGATGCTTTCTTCAATCGCCTTGTGGTCTCATTCAAAACCCGCTCGCTCGCTAGAACTGTGACACCAGAGCCAGCTCATAAGCTTATGCGCCAGACTCTCAATCAGCAACTCAAACAAAGCTTGCGAAATGACCGCGAAACTTGGTAATCTCAGCGCGCCTCGGAGATGGAGACTGCTGCTCTCTCCAGCAATTTCCGCAAGCTCTTCAAGCTCATTCGGTTCACCGGCCCCAGAAGGCCTGGTGTCAGCAAGACTATTTGTGAAGCGGATGGGTCACGAACGATTAATCTGCGAAGATGCGTAGAGCGATGGGCCGAACATTTTCACACTTCATTCGATCCCCATCCATTGTCCGCTAGTATGTCAAGTACATACAATTGCATACCCTGGGCCATTTTATTGAGGCCATCTAATGAAGCGGAGGTTTTCGTCGAGATTCGGCACCTTAAGAGATTCAAGTCTCCCGGCTCTCACAAACTTCCCCCGGAAATGTTTAAGTTTGGCGGCCCAGCACTTGCCAAGCAGTTGACGTCGCTGTTTTCCAAGATATGGCACGAAGAGATGTTATCCTCCTGGGGTGAGTCAATGGTTGTCCCTAGTTTCAAGAAAAGTGCTCGCACATCCTGTGCAAATCACAGAGGAATCAGTCTCCTGCCAGTTGCTTCCAAAATGCTGGCATCCATTCTGCTCCACAGACTAGTCCTGATCCGCGAGTTATGTTATGGAGAAGAACAAGCTGGCTTTCGCCACCGGCCGAGGATGCGCAGACCAGATCTTCACGTTACGTCAAATCCTTGAACACCGTCATCTACCGCCATCCAACCATAGTCGTTTTACTGGACATTCGTGCTGCATTTGACTCGAATGATCGGCCTGCTTTATGTACTGTCTACTAAGAAATCGAGTCCCCGGAAAGTACACTTCTATCGTTCGGGCGCTTTACTTCCAAGTGTCAGGTAGAGTGAGGGTCTAAGGCAAGCTTTCCTCATCCTTCGCTATTACTAGTGGTGTGCGGCATGGGTGCCTATCGTCCCATTCCTCTTTAACTTTGCAACTGAGGACGTCCTGTAGAGATCTCTGGAAGGCTCCTAAACTGGTGTCGAGCTTCTTCCTGGCAATTGCGTGACCGACTTAGATTATGCTGATGATATCGCTCTGCTCGGTGACGATTCAGAGAGTGTACAGCTCAGTTTGAACCGATGCGATTGAAGCGTATACGTATGGTGTGCGTTTTTCCCCCCTTGAAGTGTAAAAGGCTACTCCATTGAAGGAACGCGGATAAAGCTTGTGGACTACTGTCTACCACAGAAGCTGTATTTCTGCTGATGGCACTATTGGAAAAGAGGTATCTCTTCGCATG